ACCCATGCGGCCGCCACCCCCCACTCATACAAACATCTTTCCAAAGTTTAAAACAAATACTCGTAATTAACAGTTCGAATTCGGAGCATCTCAACTATTTAGGTTCCTCCCTTTAATCAGCCAAAGTGTAGAACATTTTAGAAAACTTTTAGATGATCCGAGTTCTACACTAACCGAAGTCGCATCTTTGACGCAATATTGACAAACTAATACATCGTTAGAGACTTTCTGTCCGACGTGATGTCGAGTTTCTATGTCGTAAACAGAGATAATGACCGAATGACGGCAAAGCGAGCCAACATTGCGAAATAGGTGTAGGAGGAAAACACATGACGTCACGAGGAGGCAGCGCGTAGCGCCGGCTACGAAACTTCTACGCCAGACATCTACGCGCCACTGAAAATAAACGATACGCGATACATTTTCAACAATAACAACAACTTTGCTACATGAAATCAATAACTATACGTTGTACATTTTAGTATGTATAGGATAATATTATCACATTACATATTAACAAAGTTCGATGAAAACAAGGAAAAAAATTAAAGAAGCACTATTCATTTTCATTACATTTATTGCCTAATTTAAAATGTAAGAACAAGAATTTGAAAAATGTCGACAGTACATGGAACAAGCATATTATGTGTATGTTGGTAACAGACAATATTCTCTTTTACACAGATTGATTTATCAGCATTGATAATTTTTAAAAACAATCTGAGATCATAGATTTAAATTTTACTCAGTAACATCGTTTTGTTTGTTTACATTTGACGTTATTTCAATTTTACCATAGCCGAAGAATTAGTTTCTTTTTCCTCGGCGATTTTATTTAATACAATTTTATAACATGTGTAATATGAACTCAATTTGCACATTGGTCGCTCAAAATTCCGATATCGAGATTTGATCCGAGATTGTCAAATCGCCGCATACCAGCCGTAACCAATCACATTACTATGTACTAATTGCTACTGATATGCGGGAATAATCACACATGTCATTGGATATAATGCATTTAATAAATTAGTATAAGGGAGTTAGCTTCTTAGAATAATTAAATCATCCAAACCCTACAGGTCAAAAAACGTCTGCAGACAAGAAGTGAAGACTAAAAATAAATACAAGGTACAAAAGCTTTTTCTAGTTCGTAAGAAGCTTTAATAGCATAAAAAACTTTTACTTACTTCAGATTCAAGACATCAGGTTGGAATGAGTCCAACCAAAGATTTGAATTCGTGGTTGACTAACCCTTGGCAGGGACACAGAAAAAAACACGTTAACGCAATAACTGCGGTAAACTGTGCAACAAGCAGACATATTAATTATGCAAATAACAGATAAACGTGATTTAGAATAAACATATTGACTGAGTGATGGGACATTTTAAATGCAATTAAACATATCAAAAGGCAACAGATGAAAATTCCAGTTTTCAGCATCTAACCGCCTTTATCTTTTATAGAACCTTTATAAAATAATTAGGCATTCATTTCTGCCAGGCTTCTATAATAGTAGTTAGTTAACTATTTAAGAGAGAGCTCGACGGGATCGCATTTGGTAAAGCTAAATTCACACGTTCCATTTTCCAAATAGAACCTGTTCGGATACGAGTTGAAACATGTACTGTTAGATTGCTTTTATATGTCACCAGGCGCTTAAAATAAATCTTTTAACCGTAACTTTATTCGCTTTGTAAAGCGAAGCAAATTCAACGTTTATCATCACACAAATCTAAAAAAAAGTTACATATAACGACTATAAATTACCGACAAAGGTAACTATTTAGATTTATCTGGATTTAGAACCAAACTTTGGACATTTTACAATTTTATTTGTTTCGATAATAGTCGCTACGTTCAACAGTGGTACAGTCAGACCCACAAGAACAAAATGTATATAACATAAATGTAAATTAAAGGCAGAAGCGATAAACAAAGAGAAATCACAGAAAAATATATAAATCTTTGCCAGACCACTTCTAAACTAGCTGAAACGATAAGTCCTAAAAAACTTTGTTTTAATATGTTCGTATTAAAATAGGCGGCAGTGTTTATGCTTCTGTAGGAACACTGTCGCGATACTTATCTATATAATCTGTCAAATATTAAGAGCGCGCACACCCTTTAGTAAACTATGGCACAACTGTTTAGTTCCGCTTTGTTTCTTATTAACTTCTATAGAGGTGCGCACACTACTCGAGGTATACAACTAAACAGTTGAATTGGCTGCAAAACAATCGACAATCATATAACAGTTGTGCGATAGTTTAAAACTGCGCTCCTGCTTTAAATCTATTCTCTTAAAACTATTTGTTCGACCAACTAATGCAAAGTTAAGAATTTTTTTGTTTTAATTATTATGGGAGGATTCATCAGAAATAATTAATTTGGATTTATAATGATCTAGAAGATTATATCATATTCTTAATTATTTCGCATACAAAAATAAAATAAACAAATGAATAAAAACCTCAATTTATTTAAAGCACAAAACAGCATAAAAACAACAATAATGACAGTTTTGTATAAAAAAACACGAAAACAAAATTATTAAGATTTCAATTTTAAAGCCATACAATAATAAAATATAACAAAAACAGTACAGATAGTTCAGCCTTGAACGTTTCAACTTATGAACAATGAGTGTACAATAACATGGTACTCTTTCATGGAATGTGACGTCACTGTGACTTAACACCCGTTTTTACCAACATACGTTAAGTACAGCCACCTTTTTTTGCGGTGTTCCAGTTACAGAAAAATATACTTAAACGTAAAAGACTTCAAACAAGTTTCGCTTTAAATTACACACAGTACCCTCGTCAGTCTTGTTTATAACATAATTTTACCGCATATTTTGTATTGTAATATAACGGCCGTGACGTCATTGGATTCAGATATGCCCTTAAAAACACAAATACATTCTAATAATAAAGCTTCAAAACAAAACAACAAAAAGCACAGCCTTTTTCATAAATATAAATGTAGTTATCAACATTGCACGTAAGCGACGCGTAAAGCTAAAAAGGTATTGCATTATTAAATATATTTCAATCACACACTCCATCCATATCCATACATTACTTTACCATAAATCTATCATTCAAATATCTTATCAATATATAAATTAAAGCCATAGAAAGCATTGCCTCACTAAATAACAAGCAATGAATTTAAAATATCCATTTCATACTGCACAAAACACTTAAAAAGCTAAACACAATAAATAGTAATCTTATAGTAATGTATAACAGTCAGTTTTTGTACTTCAATACAACCCGTGCACAATAACATCAAACCCAATCTCCTTTAGGATCACAATTCTCTACACAAAATAGTCCAGGTTTCAAATTTAAAACAAACAACTTATATTTGCTACAATTTAAATAATAATAAATTAATGTAAAATAATTCATGAAAAATATATTTTTTACAAATGTTGACGTCATCAGACCCAAGCCTTATGTTTTTGTGCACGAATTTACTTATAAAAAAATAATACAAGGAAATAATCCGTCGCCTTTGGAATATCTTTAAGGATGTATATTTAAATGGACATTACCAATTCGCGGTCATATTTGCATGAAATTAACATTATAAATATGTTAAATAAATAAGAAAGTGACGCAAAATGACTTAGTAACAATATGTTATTACAAGTATTACATTTTATAAATATGTAATCAACCCCGTCAATTTATTCATTTTTTTCAAATGTGTCCTAGCATTTGTAACTCAATAAAAATTGTTTTATGTCTCTGGTAACAAATCCATCAATACATTTTTTTTTTCATTCAAATATGACAGCTGAGTTGATATTAACATATATGCTATCTAAATGAGAATCTAAACATCAGAGGTATTAAGCGACAATTTTAATCTTAGTAATTAAGTCTTTAAAGCTAGTAATACTGAAAACAATTTAGTAAAATTATGGCCAAGGCAAAATAAATTAAAAAAAAAAAACAATATAAACACATTAAATCAGCTAATTCGACTTTGGATAAGTTCCAAATGTTAAAATGAAGAGTCAAGAAACTCTAAGAAAGATTAGAAAAATGCATTAAATAACAGTCAATTACTTATTACATATGTAAATGCAATGACATGCTTAAAATTATCTCACTCAATTGTAGAATATTAACTATTTCAAATACCAAAATTAACCCATTACACAGACAAACTGTCGGAAAACCTTTTCAACAATTAATTTAATACTATTCCTACGAGATTTAAAAGTTTCCTACCAACATGAAGTAATTTTAAGGAGTAACTCTTATCATAAAACGAAAAACTACTTTTTGACTTACATTTCTACTACATTTTAAATACTACATTGAAACATTAAAATTCAAGCAATATTAAAAAGATAAAAAATCAATATTAGAATATTTCGAATAAAATACTTAGAAAAATATATCAAGTAAATAATACTGATTTAATGCAGTCACAAACTTACCCTGGCATAAGAAACACAACCGTAATCTCATATAGGAAAGAGTATACTACTCGTATTTAATACAAAGGTGTCACCAATGTCAGTTCCAGACATTATTTTCTAATATAAAGAAAACAATAAAAACAACAACATTAAAGGCCTTGTATTTCAAATACATTTTTGTTGATGTTGAGGTCCATAATCAGCGGCCAAATAATTAAAACACACATATATCTAAATAATGTCTAAACTTAATATTGGGATAATACAATATCCGATTTTTTACTAATTTTAACATTAGTAAAATGATCTTTTTATAGTATAGGGTGATTCATGGCAATAAGAAATATACAGGAAACAAAACAAAGGTGACACTGATAGATTTTAAATCATTGATTATCAAAAGTTTATCAGTCAAGTAACAAAAGAGGTAGATAATAACCTAAAGGTCTCAGATAAATCACAAATAGACTCATTTCTATACTTGCTAATGTCAATGCTTAAAACAAAGTCTGAGATCTTAATATATGGTTAATTATATTTAATTTGACACAAATACAACCATCAAGATGTACTAAGCAATTAGAGACTTCTTTCTTGTCTTTGTACTAGTTTATAATATGAAGAATACTAAATTCTTACTAAAGTCTAACCAAGAGTATATACCCCAAGGTTACTTGCTTTCGCTATTACTGTTTCTAATATATGCAAAGAAATTAATTGCATATGTTTTGCAATATTGCAAGGGGTTTTATATTTCTGGTCAGTCTTCAATATGATTTACCATACTACTAACACCTAAGATATTCGAAAAGATTAAGGGCCTGTTCCACAACTGACTGATAGAGGTTCAGATAGGTTAAAAATGATATCACTGTCAGATACAGTAGTTATCAGTAGTAAAATTGTGGCATAGGCCCTTAGATAAGATCAGCTATGTAACACTGCAAGCTTATAAAACATTACAAATGAGATCAATTTAATTTATCTGAGATATAATATAATTGTCAGTTTTGTGTGCATTGAGCGTTTTCAGCATTTGAAGCCAATAATGCTGATAATGTGGCATGAGTTGCACTTAAATTGCCAGATGTGGGACATACTATATTAGGGGAACCGAGGTTATTATTTAGAATACCTCCACTTGTTCCGGAACTTACTATAGTTACATTCGGTGGTGGGGTCGAGCCAGTCGCGAAACCAGTAGACAGAACTTTCTGTGTGTTATGCATCATGAAAGATTTACTCACCCCGGAACTACCAAGCGTTAGCACTTTTTTTAACATTACCGAAGAACTGGTTGCATTTTCTATCATATCTTTAGTGGATATGGTATCAAAATCACTTGAACTTGTTAACACTGAACTTATTTTTGACGTTGCTGTATGGGTTGGTGTACGAACTGCGGTGAAAGAGACACTTGTGTTGTTTCTGTTCACGATGTTTCTTGAAACGATCGCATTGTGAAGAATGTTCCCAGTCGGGAAGGATTTCGTCGTCACATTGATGTACTGCGTTGGCGTACTGAGGACTGAGTTTGATGCCCGAGTACCGAAGCCAATGATAGTGCCAGCAGTACCTTGAGACATGACTGTGCTGATTGTTCCTGACTTCGTGCTTATTGGTAATCTGCAAGAATGTAAAATTGCATACTAAGGGCCTGACTCACCACTGGCTTATAAAGGGTCAGATAGCTTAAAAATGACGTCACTGTCAGATAAAGTAACAAAATCCGTTTCTCCATCTCATATTTTACACATTGGATTGTTATCAGACTTTACAATTAGGTGGGACAGGCCCTAAATAATATATGGCTAACACACATGTTTAATTATCAGATTTTGTTTTCTTTATCTAATTAAGAGTATAAAAGCCAATGTGATACAGTCCAAATTTTTTTATTAATAAAACATGAAACTGTACCTTATTACACAAGTTACCATGTGCTTAAGATAAAAAATAAATAAAAACATGCTAAAGTGCATTTCATATCAGATAGAAATTATTAAAAATTGCTTACCCTCGAATCATCTGTGAAGTGGAAGCCGGTATGGCGGGTATGGTGGGTATGGTCTGTATGGTGAGTGTGGCATGCGGGCCGCGTGTGGCGACGCGTGTGGTGGCGCGTGTGGCGGCGCGTGGCGCGGGGCGGTGCGGTGCAGCGCTGTAGTAGTGCAGCGTGGCGGGCGCGGCGAGGTGCGCCACGGGCACGCTGTGCACCATGCCACTGGTGGTCGATGCCACTGTGATACACTTCGTGTTCTGACTACCCTCAAACTGAAACAAAGATCCATGTTACAAAGACTATTTGACTGTTTTAACCCAGAGCGTCGTAAAGGGGTGTCACAGGTAAAAGGGAGTTACGGGTGCCTATTTTTTATGTAAGTTTGTATTGCAATTAGGCGCCGGTAATGCTAAAACCAGCTCCGGCTGTTTTATCTTATAAGTTATGAATGACAGTAAAATAGTGATAAGAAATAGCACTAGAAGTTAGTCGCCTTTAATTCTAAATATTTCTTATCTGTCTTGTTTTCAAGAAATCGTCCTTGCAGAGGCTCTCGCTCCAAATAATCCCAGTAGTAAAGCTACAGGTGACAATAACAAATTATTTATCATTACATATTGGTCACTTATATAATAAATATTGGATATCTGAAATGCAAATATTTAAAAACAAATTGTATATGTTAATACAAAATATTAAAGTATTCATTATTCATTCATACATTATCTGTGTTGAGTGTTGTTCCTAAATCAAATTCATCTCCCACCAAAGTGATTGTATCTGGGTTTGCTCCTGTTAATTTCTCGATCGTCTTCCTTGCATCCGCGTCACTTTCGATGTTCCCTAAATTACGACTCAAAAACTCTATGTCAGCTTCAAGCAAACCATCAACTAAATGATTCTGCACATCATCTGTTTGTTTACAAAGAGAAAATGCATCTTCATTTTCCAATTTTATATCCTCAACTTTTATCCCTTCAACATTTATATCATCGATATTTTCAACTTTAATATCACTAACATCAATATCTTCGACTTTGATTGTATCAACTTTTATCGCATCCAAATCATCAACTTTGAAACCATCAACTTTTATATCATCCATATCCTCTACTTTGATATCTGCAAAATCTGTATCTTCTTTAAGCATATTCGATACATCAGCATACTCTCTGCCAGTATCTGGATTAGTCATATACTGACTGGCATTAAAATTACTGCTATCAAAATTATCATGACACTCCAATTTTATATCATCCACTTTGTATTTATCTTCCTGATTTGTTGCACTTGTTGATGGTTGAGGACTATCCGCATTGCCAATTTCGTCACTTAGCATTTTCTTTAATACATATGCTTTTATCTTTCTCAACATAAATGGTGGCACTTTAAATCCTGTTAATTCACCGAGCATAGGCAAAGAGTTATGCTTATAAGTATCACTGGTTGCAAGTTCTTCAATATCTTCTAAAACCTGAAACAATACCAATAAAATCAATACTTAGTAATATATTATATTCATACATTAAATTTTAATTATACTTACCATTATATAAGTCTTTCCTCCGACAGCATTGACTAGGTTGTGACTGGCTATCCATTCCTTGTCTAGAGTATCGGCAGGGTATCTGAGCAAGCCTGAATGTCTGGTGTATAGTCGCCCTCTTGCATTACCCAGTCCCAAAACCTTAAAAACATGAAAACAATACTAATAACATTTTTAAGAAATGCCTAGAGTTGTTATCATGTAATGTGCATTTATTCCATTGCTACATTTCATTACAAAAAACAAAAATAAGTAGCCATTGTGTTTTTCCAGACTATCCTGTATATCTATGACAAATTTCATGATTATCTATTCCCCAGTTTAGGCTACAAACTCTGACATCCATCCAACTAAACTTTCACATCCATAATATTAGTAAAATTACCTTATGAGCATGAGATCCCATTATAAATAGTGTATCTTGAGTTAATCTAGCAGGATTCCACTTCTCTGGATCTCTTATTGATTGGGCGGACAGGGGAGATACAGCATTCTCAACTGTTTGTTCTTGTTTAATCTTTTTACATTTATTATTCAATTCTGATTCCGCATCTTGCTCTTTTCTTTTACTTTGTAATTGATTCTGTAACTGAAATACAAATTACATTAAAAAACCTAATACAAGTTAAATATTGGATTGTTAAGTCCAAAGAAAATGTTCAGTTTAAGTGATGGCATTTTATTACTTTATGCCTAATAATGGCCTTTGTCCTACCATACCAGTTACAATTGTCTGGTTTTAAAGTTCTGTAACATGTATAAATATCAAATTTTCTTACAGTTTGCTTAGTAAATCTTTCAGCTGTCTCATTGGTACTTTCACACATATCATTAGTTGTGGTTGTAGGACGCGACGGTGTGGTGTACAACAATCTGGTTGCATCTAGCATTGCCCGACATACTGCTCTTACCTAGAAAAGTAGAAAATAAATAATATTATTAATTTTCCATAGAGATAAATTGTATATAGAAAAAAATAGAGTTTTCTAAGTAAAATCTGAGTTGATTAGGAGCACTATCCTTTTTGATATCTACACCTATATTTTATTTTAAATAGAGAAAACACTTTGTATGTTAGATATGAACTCAAATACCCAACTGATTCAAAACAATTTTGGCCTCAGATAACCACATAACTGAGTATCTTATTCCATTACTAGAGTTAATTCCCTATGGACAAAGTGGCAGGAAAAAGCTATATGACATTCATTTTTTTCATTTCAAAATACTTACTTGATCTTCACTAACAGATTCATCACCCAAATTTAATCTAATATTGTTGACAGCAGGGACAAAAAATTTCTGCAACAAATTAAGTAATGAAAATTTTCATATCATTAAAAAACAAATGCCTGGTTACTTGCCAAAAAGATCGAAAACAAAAGAACAACTAAAGAGACAATGTTGGTGGTAAGAGTTTTTAATTTCGTTTACATAAATTGTATTCATAGTTGTCCTTTTAGTACCTACCTCTAAGTACTTTTTGATGACTTGGTCAATCTCTCTTGTAACAGCTGACTGTATTGTTTGACGAAGCATATCTAATGATTTATTAGCACTGGCACGAAACTCGGCAATCGGCCTCGAATGTGGCTGCACAGGACCAGGAAGGCTAAAGCGCCTGTGCATTGTGGCTAAGGTATTTATAGCTATCTGTCGAGTTATTGGTTGTTTCTGAAAAAGAAAAATGATATTATTGAAGTAAACAGTAAACTGTTCTTCTAAAACTTACGAATATAATAATCAATAGTACCGTTTGCATATTACTTGTTGAGTTTGCACGATTAGTTAATCCTTTAACAGGAGCTTGAAAGTTCCATGAAGTAGCTGGCTGATTTTCTGTTGGAATAGCATTATTTGCTACATCAACATTACTCCAAGTCTTCTGAATCACCATTTCGAATTAGTAACATAAAGTTACAATACTAAGCTATTTTAACTTTAATTTTCAATAAACCATAATGTGTTTCATGTTTTTATACAATTTCCCATACCATCAAACTGTTATTTAATTCACAACATATCAAAATAAGTAAAAGGTAATTTTTCAACCTTCGATACAATTTTCAAGTCAATCAGCTTTTCAGAAACAACGACCATAGTCCATAGCACCATAGATAAAATAGCTCATGATGTTAATGACGTTTTAGTTGATTTACCGAAGACTACCAAAATCTACTGAAACTACAATGAAGATTTCAGTACCAATACAGACATTTCAAAAATTGTAATAACAAAACGACATCAAACCGTGACAAAACAAGTTAAGTCAACATCTCTTAGTTCACACTTATCATTTGGAACTTATGGCACAAAATGGAGTAGTTAACATGTATCCATTTCTTTGGCTTGTTATATAGTTTATGTTGTGGATTTAAATTAAACGATAGTTAAAATTAATTTTAAAGACATTTTATTTTATAGCGAGACAGACGTCGAATATATAAGTGTCAATTAAAAGAAGTAAAAACAGAGTTGTGTTTTATAAGTAAAAAGGTTTGAATTAACAGTTTACAGTGTTCGTGCTCCGCGTTATCTTATGCTTGCCTCAAATAATTTGCCAAGTATAGTAAAAAATATGATAAAACGGAAACACCTCCTGCAAAATAAAAACCAAATTGAAGGAAAAGTGAAAAGTGACAGAAAATTAATCAATGTCAGTGCATTTAATCATTCAGTTCTATTCGTTCACCATGTAATAGAGATGTACCTATGTGTATTAATGTCGATAATTTTTCAAGTACTTCGAACAAAAGTAACCAACTGTTCATTTAACGTACCTGGTTAGTTATGTATACCGTTCGTATTAGGTAATACTGTCTGTATTGTTACGTACATCGTAATTGTTAAAATGTGGAATAAGTATAAAATTAATTTTAATTACTTGAAGTAGCCATGTAAATGAAAGTTCGACTATTTAAAAAAAAAATTTACGTCGAAAAATTATTTATCGAATGATGTATTACGACTTTTAAAATGATCAAAATGTAATATATTGCTGTAAAACATAAATTTATCGATATGTTTTATGCACATTAGAAATAGGTCTGTCACTGTCATCATATACGTCTAGCATAGTCATTCATTCATTTGATTTGCATTTAAAATAAATTTCAACTCTATCAATTACTTTACTACAGTGGTTTTAGAAGTGGTGACGCGGTTTATTAATAGGTAAATACAATTCAATAAAGTACGATATTTTTAGCCTAATTTTGTTAGGTTAAAAGATTCAAATTAATTATATAAATATGTACTTACCAATTTACTACTTTTTCGTTGTTCTATAGAAATTGTCAAATGTATATAGTATTAAAAATATAGAAATAGTTAAGATTTTATAACATCATATTACTTTCATAAAAATGTATTCCGATATTAACTTTGTCACATCACGATTTCTGGTTTAACAAAAATGTTAAGTTAAAACTTTGAACTTTGTACCACAAACAAGTTTGACAAGATTTAGTTAAAACTAAAACATCACTGTCATTATTTTAATCATCTAATGGTGAATTAACTAAAAATCTTTATCAGATAAGTTGTTCGTAAATAAAAAACCAGTGCCTTATTTGCACAATATTATTGCCTTTTAAAAAACATACAGTTATAATATTTGGACTTGAATAACATGTTATATGTAAAAAAATCTTATTGCATTTATCCTTGTTATCATTGACCATAACATCATTTTCATCATCATGATGTATTACCATTATTATGGTAGTTTTACTGTATATTATTACTAATTCTATTATCAGAAACAATAACTAAATGTACATTACTCCTAAACTTCGTGCATATTCTGTAATTATTACAAGAATTAGAGAATTATTACCTAGTTTAAACAAGGTATTTAAATAAGGTACAATACATACAGTGTATTAGTCATAATCATACTCACAATAATTTGCCTGTTATATTTTGCTCCTGTATTTTCTTAATTTGTTCTAACTCTTGTACTATACAACAATAATTGAGGTACTTGTAATTTTATACTAGCTTTCGCCCGCGGCTCAATCCGCATGAAATTAAAAAATAAGAAAAGTAAGCAGCCTTTGTGTTCTTCCAGTTCTAGATCTGCGCCAAATTTCATAGAGATCCATTCAGCCGTCTAGGTAACAAACTTTAACAACCGTCCATCCATCCAAACTTTCACATTTATAATATTAGTAAGGTTTATAAATAATGTTTTGCATACTGTTACATCATTATTATGATGACATCTGACACTCTGCAGTTGTCACTTTTGAGATAACTAAATGGGTCATTGATCTTGTTATAGCTTCTATTTATTATGTGAGATATTATCAAAACAAAACAGTAAACATTCAAATAGAAGATTCAATAACTAACTAAAAACTCTATTGTCGGTACATGCTTACCACCAAGGTTGTTTTGCTTTAACAAAAGTGTCGACTTTGACCTCTAATGTATTCAAAAATTATCATAATATGCCTAAGTTTTATTATGTCTCATTCTTTACTTGCTTGTTATTTGAAACTATTGAACATTTTATTTGGATAGGGAAATATGAGAATAAAACAAAAAACTAACAGTACAAAGTACCAAAGCTGTTGTTTTTCCTTTACCTTTGATAGATACTTTTGAATTCAATGAAACAATATAAATTGTAATTCATTTGAAATTAAAATATGTTTTTCTTACAGATTCCAACATGTCTAAAATCAAGGCTGGACCAGTTGTTGATGTGCTTGGAGATGAGATGACAAGAATCATTTGGGATCTTATCAAGGACAAACTGATTTTGCCCTTTTTAGACATAGAATTACATACCTATGACTTAGGTATTGAATACCGTGACAAGACTGAAGACCAAGTTACCATTGATTGTGCCAATGCGATTAAAAAATATAATGTTGGTATCAAATGTGCAACAATTACCCCTGATGAAAATAGGGTTGAGGAGTTTAAGCTAAAGAAAATGTGGAAAAGCCCGAACGGAACAATCAGGAACATTCTCGGTGGAACTGTTTTCAGGGAAGCTATTATATGTAAGAACATCCCTCGTCTTGTAACTGGTTGGGAGAAACCAATTATTATCGGTCGTCATGCACACGCTGATCAATACAAAGCGACAGACTTTGTTGTTCCTGGAGTAGGTAAACTGGAGCTTATCTGGACTCCTCCTTCTGGGGAACCCATTAAGCATGTGGTCAATGATTTCAAGGGTGCTGGTGTTGCACTTGGAATGTTCAATACTGATGCCTCAATTGTTGACTTTGCTCACTCTTCATTTAAATATGCTTTAGAGAGGAAATACCCTCTGTACCTGAGTACTAAGAACACTATTCTCAAAAAGTATGATGGTCGTTTCAAGGATATCTTCCAAGAAATTTATGATAATGAGTACAAGGCACAATTTGAGGCTGCTGGTATTTGGTATGAACACAGGCTTATTGATGACATGGTTGCTTATGCTATGAAGTCTGAAGGTGGATTTGTATGGGCCTGCAAGAATTATGATGGAGATGTCCAGTCTGATTCGGTTGCTCAGGGCTATGGTTCTTTGGGTCTGATGACATCGGTTCTGATATGTCCGGATGGTAAAACTGTGGAAGCTGAAGCAGCCCATGGTACTGTAACTAGACATTATCGCTTCTACCAGCAAGGCAAGGAGACCTCGACCAATCCGATTGCGTCTATATTTGCTTGGACGAGAGGTCTGTTGCACAGAGCCAAGCTTGATAACAATGATGAACTAAAGAAGTTTGCGGAAACATTGGAAAGTGTATGTATCAATACAATTGAATCTGGAGTAATGACAAAGGATCTTGCTATATGCATCAAGGGTATGAACAATGTGAAGAGAGCCGATTATTGCGAAACCTTCGAATTTATGGACAAATTGGCTGAAAACCTGAAGAAAAGTCTGGGGAAATGACTGATATGTCACAAAAGTAATTTATGAATACATTTTTTTTACTTAATATATTTAATCAATGTATGGTGCAAGGATATTGAGGGATTTTTATTTTATGGCATTTATTTATAAAAAGTATTAATAAACGATACTCAGTGTTTCTTTTTATTTCTCTTTAACTTCAAGTCAAAACACTATCTAAAGACAGTAAATATTAAATTAAAAATTGCCAAAAACAACTTCGTACCACATGACACTTTCTTTTCCATGCATACATTTATTTGCGTGTGTTTTTTAAAGTAAACATATTTGAGTGGTTAGATAACATTACTATGTTTGTGTATCAGCGAGGTGCCGTGTAATCAGTACTATCGCATTGGTTAACACAAGGTCGTTTTAAATTGATATTCACTCACCGCATTGATAAACAGTAGTTGTTACTGGTGAGGTGAATTCGGTCGACCGAATCTGACGTAATAAAAAGCAACAAAATTTTACTAATATTATAAATGCGAAAGTTTGGATGGATGTTTGGTAAAGTTTGTAGGCTGAACGGATCTCGATGGAATTTGGCATAGTTGTAGAGGATAATCTGGGAGAACACATATGCTACTCTCTTTTTTTTTATTCCACGGATCGAAAGCTAGTAATTATTATATAACAATACTTTTTAGTTCAAAACACTACGAACTATTATTCCTAAAAAGTGGTACCATCGTATACTATAAGGTAGTCATTGAATGTACTACAAAATCAGTAGTAAGTGAAAAATGGGGGTAAATATTCCTTGCTACTATTCTTAGAGTTTATTTACAAATAGCAGCTAGCCACGAGTTTTCAGCTTTCATTTGCCGCGGCTGCAGCAGTGGAAATAGGTACATACGACCAGTCGGCGCCCATCTACAGGTTCTATTTCTATTTTATCTATTGTCCGTTAGATTATATTGGAATTTGTAAAAGGTAGATTCAATAATATTTTTTTGAAATTACGAACGCATCATAATATGGTGTCTAGTTATAAAAATCGTTTACGACTATCTATCATTTATTTAATAAAATTGAAGTGCCTTTTTGTAATACATGTCAAAAGAAAAATTCCAGATTTCTGGAAAATGATGTATTTGTGTTGCTGGTAGCGAAAATCACATTAGAATTTTTTTTCTGTCTGTCCGCAAGCCGCGTTTGTTCCGGGTTATCTCCTAAACGGCTGGACCGATTTCGACGGGACTTTCACTGAAGGGTAGCTGACATAGACGGGCTTATTATAGGGTATTTTTATCTTAATATTGCGTGAACAAAGTTGTGGGTAACAGCTAGTCCACACTATTTTTCTCTTGTCTATGCTCAATGGATATGAATTCAGAACATTTATGTCTAAATAATTAATGTACTTTTATAAATAAATACCATTCACGTGAGGTCATAGTTATGTGTTAAAACATCTCAAACATCATTAAGTTATAAGAACTGTATGTAAGAAAAAACTTTATTGTTGCGTTATTGTCTCCAATAAACAATAAGACAATGATAATCGTTATAAAAATAAAATCTATAATATACTTGTATGTGTTTACATTTCATAGGTTCACATTAATGTGGTTAAGTTGTTATACAGTTATATTTTAAACTTAAATACCTATGTATACACACACAAAGTTATTGTTTGTTCAATGAAATGCAAATAACTGTGTCATTATTCATAAATAGTTAGGAACTTTAAACTATACATAGTATATAAATCTTTTAAATATCTGTTAAAAACATGTTACACGGAAATAAAAAAGGCAGTTTATTTAGCGCCTGCTATAATATCAAAACAACCATTGTGAGGATTCGTCACATTGTTTACGTAAAACATAAAAATTAATAAGTTTTAATAATAAAGAGGAAATAGTTGTTTTTTGTATGTATTGAAATAACTCAAAAACTATTGGGTTGATTTTAAAAAGTCTTTCGCTGTCAAAAAGGGTAATTTATTAGTGAGTAATTGCGACGAAGTTGCGAGGAATTTAGAATGTAATTAAATCTTGATTTGGTAACCTAGGGTGTTGTGTAATGTAATGCATTATAATAATTCAAAACATATTTGCTAAAAGATGGAATACCTACTATAAATATTAAAATCACCTCATAAACGTCGATATTACGACTATATTCTTTTGGAAACTCGACGAGTATATTGATAAGAGTACGATAATCCTATGATTGGTGACTTTTCAAAATTTTGAAAAGTCATTTACGTCATCTAATGATTTGTAGTTCGTTTTACAAATACAATTCACGGTTTTAAAAATGTTTTTAAATTGCTATGACCAAATTGTAGATTTGAAAACTTATTCTATTCGCACATCCAAATCGCATGACTGTTTGCACTTTTTTTATCTTATAAAATGTCTAAAGTCTTAAGTCGAAAGTCTACTTAACTCGTGTCATGTTTTGCATACTGCGTAAATGTATGAAAATACATTTACACAGAATCTCTACTAGGTACGGTTGGCAGTAACCAGATGACCGGCCGTAAAAATTAAGTCAAAAATTAAATTTTATAATATAAAACTGGCAATTTCATCTGTGTTGATTTACTGAGAAAACAAAGAGAGTAACTGCTGAAATTTCACAATAGAAAATGTCATATTTACATCGATATGGTCCAATTAAGTAGCGTCTTAAAGGTAAAAGAATTGCGTAGATAGCATTATTTTAATGTAATTTGATTATATTTTTTTTTTAAATGGGAAAGACGTTTTTATATCTATAACCTGTTTAGTGTCGACTGAATTAAATATGCATGTTAAAATTGACAAAACCGATAGTCCAAACCAAGCTGCTATAATTCCTACAAAATATGCAAATATACGACAAATTAAGGATCAAAATTTTCGCATAATATACATAAAGACATGTAATTTTTAACCGCGAATTAAAAATGCTGCTTTATTCTCTTGTCGGCGTTTTCAAACGTTTGTATTTTAGATGTTTTTGTTTAGTTTCATAACGTCAAATTAATCCGTTTTAATTGTTCAAGTTATCTAAAATTATTACACTATTGTGTATAAAAGAATAATACAAGGTTTGTTCACCCTGAATATTTATCATATTCAGACGTATTTCATGTTAGGTGCATTTTTTTATAAAAAGCCACTGAACCTTCTATTCCCGCCGTCCGACTTACTTCAAATATTTCTCGATACCTCTTTTAATGTAATTTTTTCACAAACATAAATTAGTATGACTAGTAATAGTTTTGCATTATCTGTGTGGTAAGATCGTTTACGCAGCTAGAGTAAAATAAACTTTTGTACGAAAAAAAAACTTCGTTTGTGGTTTCAGAGTAAACAAAGTAGTCCAATTAAGCTCCAAAAAATATTGCTATACACTGAATACACACTTTTTAGTTTTTTTCAACGCTGAATATAAAAGCCAATTAAAATCGATACGCTTCATTGATTTTCAACAATTAATGAATTTAAAAATGTTTAAATTCAAGGCCTTTGATTCAAAGTGAATATATATTTTAGTGTACACGATGATTCATATTTTCAATTTCAATTTCTAAAGTATTTATAAAAAATAGAAACATCTAAAATAAATAAAACATACCTCGAAAAGATACATTCAATTCCGAAGCTATCAAATCGAATCATTTTTAAATCCTCTCAACAATCCTGTAAAAACGACACAAATCGGTTTCGATTTCTATTACGACGAATCTCAGTGCGACGATCGGAGCAAATAACTTTTCTTAGTAAACTAGGCGGTTGACGTTTCCCCTGCTAGGGGGAGCCTGCGTTTCTCCCTCTGGGTGGAGTGAGGGCCATTCAAAGACGGTTCGCGAAGCTCTCACGGTGCTTTGCATCTTCAGTTTGGCGGGCTTAGCCATTGCGGACGGTCGTGTGACGTGTTAATTCTACACTCCAGTTACGGCGTAGAGATCGCGCGTATTTCAACACTATAAAAACAAACCAACCCCAATAGTTTATGTGCCTATCGTGAACGATGTCAATACACCCGAGCTTTTTGTTGTACTTACAATGCTTCATCGTTGTAAACATTTTATTGGTAAGATTTCTTTTTTTTTTTGTTTATTTAATAATACTTTTTTTATTTTAAACTAATCTGCAGCTGTAAGTAAAAATAACGACTTATTAACGTATCAACTTACTCTAAAGAGATTTTCATAAATCATCTTTAATATTTTTCATTGTTAAATGTAATAGACATTGGTCCGTTTTGTACATAAAACATACATAATTAAAAAAAAACATGTTTTTCGTATAAGTTGTTTCCAAGAAAACACTCTTGTTGTATATTTTCCGAGAAAGTCATAAAGGTCGAATACAGAAGTCTCCGTGGAAAAGGTTACGTTTGACTTTGACCTTAGCCTTCGATTTGTTACCTCTGACCTGCGTATAATATAAAATCCCTAATACGCACTAACGAAACACATCAGAAATCAATTAAATTCAATTTGTTTCAACTGATATTTGATTAGTATTTGTGGTTTGCATAGATACATAATTTTACTAGCAAAAAAAAACTCGTCGCTAAATCCAGATTTGCCAAAACTTAAACATCTCTCTCATTTTAAAAAAAAAAAAACGATTTGCCAGTGGAAGCATTATTACATATTACAATAATATAGTAGATATGTTTACGTGCGAAATTTACAAACTCTTAATACTCGTACATTTCAATCCATTTCTTACTAGAGCTTGTTTAAATCACATTTTAATCAAAATACTTGAGATTTAATTTTACACAAGAAATGAGTAATTTGTCTAGAAACGACAAGCACCTGTCGTTAGATAAATAAGTGTTCAAGGATGATTAATGTTATTACTAAAATACACGACTAGTATTGTGAAAGTGAAGTCGACAGTATTACAATAATAATACATTTTATTACATCTATACTATTATAATAAAGCGTAAACACACACTTCTTTGTTGCCTAAGATGTCAGCAATTACAGCATATTTTTGAATAATTATATTTTTAATAAAAAGCCCTACACTTGCGTCACGTTTTAGGCTATATATTTCACGCCATTAAACTTAGGGGGTAAGTATTTTGGATAAAAACCCTAATGTGGGAAAAAGACCATTGCTGCCAACATCAAGGAAGCAAGAGTACCATGGTTTGTCATGTCATGTCATTTTGATATTTGCTATTGATAATTTGAAGAATGTATATAAAATAAAAATTTCATAATTGCATGCGGATGAAGCCGCACGGGAACAGCTAGTAAAAACATAAAGTTACAATGTTCAAGAATATGGAGGTACTAATATTGGCTAAATTCTTGTTATACTCGTAAAGATCACAAAAATTAAAAGAAGAAGATCTACGTAAAGACAAATAAGCCTAAATATAAAATGTTTTAGTTGCCAATAACTTATATGCATAATCTAGACTAAATAATGGTTACCAATTAGTTAGTTTTGACCTCATTTTGATCACGGAAAAAATATTTACTTAAATCGACGCAACAAATTAAGCTATCTGTAATTATGTAGACCATAATTTGTAACCATCTATAATTTATCCGCAATAAGTGATAATTAAACATCTCGCATACGAGCTTTAGCGTCCGATAGAAACGAGATAAGCATCGTTTCCGTTAACTGTATGTATTGCAACATGCATTCTATAGTAAGATGGCATGAACGCCCAAGAGTGTAAAACTTTGGAGGCGGTAACTGCAATTGTAATACAATGTTAACGTACAAACGTGACCGCGAAATATGGATACGGCATATGCATTAAAGGGCGTATTTAGTATTTGCCGGTAAGGAACCGCTATCTAGCTGTATCAATTACTAGCGCCGCTTGGGTGCGTCCAATTACGAGCTCTAGTTCACATACTTCCTATTCATAGCCTTCTTAAGATTAATCAAATCGCTCGACAATGCAATAACAACGAAAGAACACCGATTTAAAATTTACTTGAACAAGCGTAACGTATTACTATTACTACACTAGAAAGTATGTTAACTTGAAGTAAGATAAACTATAATTATACTAATATTATAAATACGAAAGATCAGATGAGAGTTTGTAGGCAAAACGGATGAACGGATTATCATGAAAGGTATAGATGTAGTGGGTAATCTAGGAGAACACATAGGCTACTCACTTTTGTTTTTTTTATACCACACGAACGGAGTTGCGGGCGGAAGCTAGTATTAATCATAATGATAATTAACCCAAGATGTTAAACGAAAACGGAGCTAACAAAAATATTTCTCCTTATCGACGATTATCATGTACATATAAATTAATAAATTATGTATACACATGAGCTATATTTACACTAGTACCTTAAAACTTTCAAGACGTAGTTAGATCTACAGCGGTGCGTGGGAATCTCCGACCGTGCAATTAGGGAACACAGGGCGCGAAGGGCGTTCAATTACTCTCAGAGCATGTGTCGATGTTTTTATTGCAATCCTCTTGTCGGCGTGAGGAAATTAACATGTATAAAACAAATGAAACCACATTAGATTCATTCTTCAATTGTTTTTAAACTATCGGACAGGAAGTATTTAGAGGAAGTCAGTCTGAGTTGTCGGAAATAAGTCTTACTTCGTTAATGCATTTTAAGACATGCACAATATTATTAAATTTTATTGTCCACCTCACGATTTGTGTTACGACATCGTATGAAATTCGTGCAACTTTCTCGATAGCAGCTTTCCGTGTTTTCGATCTGTTTGCACTTGGTTTCAGACGACTCAAGTAGTCTGCCTCTGCCCACGATGTCAAATAATATCCAAAATAGGTACAAAACAAATTAAACCAAAGATTTTCTGTTTATGAAGAAGAAAGATAAAAAAAACGTTCGAGTAAACATTCTTAAAGATACCTACTCTACATTCATTTAGGAATACGATATGAACGAGCAAGTAATATTGGTTACTATTTATAAACCAATTTTTTTTTAAAACTAAAGAAAAACTTCCACGATAAAGACGTCAAATGTTGATTACAATTGTTAGTTTTTTTTCTTTAAAAGAAATCCCATTGTAATCTAGACTCGAAAGTGATTCTTGATGCTTTTTTCTAACGCGTAAAAATGTTGTAAATGTTCCGGCAAACTTTATGTCAATGACCGCATCCAATTATGGTTACGTAAAGGAGGAACATTTTTTCAAGATTCAATTGGATTTTTTTTTTCATTTAAGAATGTTATCCAATTTACGATTCTTACGTCGATAGCGTCAAGAACGGTACGATAGTTTGCGATAGACGTGAGCTATGCTCGTAACTTCTAACGGATGTCGAACTACGCTTTTTTGTTGAAGAACATCTAATATTAGCATGCTATTCTAATTATAGAACATTGTTGGTTCAACAATATCTATTGTGGTCGATTTTAGGATACTGATATATATAACTACTCCAAAAAATATCGCATAGAAAAACTAATAGAAGATAATTTTCTGATTAATATGAAAATGATTTTCAAGGCAGAAAATAGTATAAGACACTTTTATTATGGTTGATTGACTGTCGTAATACACATTTAAAGAAAAATTATTAAATTCGTTCAATAAGACGAGGTCATTTCCGGTCACGCATGCAACTAAAGCTTGATAACTTCGATAACTTGATTTATATACCTACAATAACGAGTTATGTGCCCTAAAATTACTGCACTAAAGCCATTTCCGTTAAATCGAACTTTCGGCTTAAGAAGAAGATAAATAACATCTCATGGATTTCTCATTAAACCTTTTATATATTTCTCTATCTAATATTCTCTACAGTTTTCTTAAACAAATGTTCATAACCTCCTAGTTTGAAAAGGGACTAAATAACTGTATGCGTGACATAAAGCTATAAACATTTCCTTCCCTTTGATTCCTGTACATTTGCACCATTCCCTTGGCGATTTAAACGTTAGCAGGCGCCTCAATGAGCCTGATCGTGTACCGTTGCGTGCGTCATACCAGCCGGTCGAGTCAAGCCTACGACCCTGTTCGCCCTATCGATCTAAGACAGGGTACCTAGTCTTACCTTATACGTCTTTGATATATGTTCTAACTATCAAAATGTATGAAGCAATTTTTTCATACGTTTTGATTGATGTTTATTATAAGCAAATTCATTTAATAATGCCAAAAACATGGATAAAACTAGTAATTGCCTTTTACACTTCAAGTTATGGTTCTCAATGTAAACAGATTTAATAACTTACATTAATTGGTAAGTAAATATGCAAAATTAAAAATTAAATTCTACACATCAAGATCCGCTTTGTTAAAAAATATCACCGTTTAATTACGGTTACATTTCTTATCGCCTAGATTGACAGCTGTGACTTTACAATTAACATGGCGTCTAATAAAAATATTTGTTGTTAATTGGCTGCTTGTCAGCTTGTTAATCATTCCCTTTTAAACTCGCGCATAATTACTTTTTGTTGATGCTCACATGTTTTAATTTAATTAGCTCAATGACAGGTGATGTCAGACGATAGCGGGAAATGGCAAAAAGTTGGCACGGTCACGCCGAATACCTTATCCGTCGGATCTGACGTACGGCCCACTTACACCCTATCAAGCAATAAGCTAATCAGGATAGCTGTAATTAACTAGAACAGTTATTACACAAAAGAATTATACAAAACATAACGGAGATCTTTATTCTGTCTTCCTTATCGATATTGAACTGTCATAAACTTGAAATGAAGCAAAGGATTTGAACAAAGTTGTTTCTTCGTCTTGACACTTGAACAATAAAAACAAAAAGTGTGTTCGTTCCACATCCTGTGGGGAGTACGAATCGTGACTCCCTCTTAGATGTTTTGATACAGCGCTCTAAATGGCATTAATGTAATATTTTGTGTACATCGTATTCTTCACATCACTAGGAACTAAAAATTACAATATAAAAAGATATGAAAATCACATCACATTTTACTGCCATCGGAGATTTAATATATCAACTTGTAAAAATAAACTTATTACGCTAGCTAGTCGATGCCGACCACGACTTGTTTATTTTGCGCGTACCAACAAACATTCGACTCCGTATTGACACAAATCGAAACGTCC